GGCGGAGTTGGGGGTGGGATGAGGATACAACAAAATGAGAGAGTTAGGCGGCACAAATTGCAGGATTCGCATACACGACCTTCACGATGATGTGATGATGATCTGAACCGTTGGGTCACTGCCTCTTGCCTGACCTCCACATGTTCGCAGCATTTTTTTAAATAGTTTTTTCTTTCTTAAGAGAGAAAAAAATACTTGCCTGGTGACTAAAATTATGCGGGTGGTAGGTGGTTACATAAATTGGTATAGTGTGATTTAATAGCATAAGGAATGGTGTTTTCCAGTTACCAACGGAAAGGCGCTAATTTCGTAGATGATACAAGAGAATTACGCAAGACAACACAGAGTTGTAACCCTTTTTGGGTGAGGGCAGACAGAAGGTGAAGAAGTCAAACTAAAAGCACTAGAGAGGTACAGAGTCCGGTGTGGTTTTTAAAACAATCACAGAATAGTTTGACCACGTTATATTACGGGAAATGGTGAAAAAGACTGCATGCTCACTCCGACAGAGGAGAGTACCCAAAAGTCGGAATGCCCCGGGATTCCTTTCCAATAATCAAGTGCTTGTATGAGACATGTAGGATGCTCGCGTAAACTAAATGATCGTTAAGCCTTTGGCAGTTAATTTCGTGAACACGAATTTTGAATTGGGACTTGGATAGTAATTTATCGTGTAAGTGAGAACAAAAATTCTATCAGTAGTCAACTATATAAATAAAATAATTGTTCTGGGAAAGGGAAAATTAACATGGGCTAATATCATCTTCATGCTGCATGTGGGATTCTCAACTATCACATAATTGATCTGTTCGAACTGACCATCCTTTATACTTCACCTTTACGCACATTCATCAGCTCTTCCAGTCAGCCATATACTCGGAAGAACTAGACTAGAGTTTCGCTCTTATTGTTTCTCATCAGTTCTGAACATCTACCGTCTCGTCCGGGATTTGAACTCCGGAACCATCGCATGGAAGGTGTGCGTTGTGCCACTTTGCCTTTCAATATGATATCATCAAGTGTAAAAATAAAATAGGAACGCGTCGAGAATGGCTACGACATGGCAATTTCGTGACCTGTGGGACATCGTGCGCTATTTGGTGTTAAACCGCCAAAGTCAGTCAAATGACTGGCTGTAATCTGAGGGGTTTTGGGTTCATCAACAGTGACACCGGGTAGTAGTGTCTCAAACGAGGAAAAAAATATGCTGTTATTCATAGATTTGTGCATTAGGATGCACTAGGCTGGGGTAGTTACGGAAATATCGAAAACAACGCTTCAGGGTTACCTAATAAACGCCAGTCCTCGCAAGCCCGTTCAAAATTTGAACTCGAGAGTAGTATGGCTCAAGGAACAGAGCTTTCATTGATGTTCGATTAGAGTCCACTAGAACAGGTAGAAATAGATCAATTAAAACAAGGCTGGGGTAAGTGATTTCAACGTGAACTGGGCGGTGGTTACTGTTAAAAATACTGTTCCCAAAATTCTAAGAAAACGAGGTCAACGTTCTTTGAATCAGCTTCGAATGCGGTGGAGGTCTGGAAGCTACGTATGACGATATTTTATGAAAAAGTTCAACCTTGACGAACTGGATTACTCACAAAGCCATTAGAATGGGAACAGGATGTTAGCAAACCCATTTGATGGACAATATACCATTAAACAATAAATGATGAGCCGAGTCGCCTTTTAGGTCGTTGATTCGAATCGGTTTTTGTGATTCCGGACGATAACTGAAATTCAACGGTTCTTGTCGTTTACCATAAGTTGGATGGGATGGGGTCTGCTTAACATGACAACGCGTCAGATATCACAATGGTTCGGTCAGTTTTCTTTGCAAAATCCATCCATCCATACTTCGAAGCTCCCCACTTGCGTTTCTTATCTCAATCTCGTCGAGAACATCTGAGGATTGCTGTCCAAGAGACTGTAACAAAATGCTACGGGTTAGTGTTTCCTTGATGAAACCGGAGTGAGAAAATATTAGCGTCACATCTTGCATAAAGTTTGAGGGTGTCTACTGAAGCTGGGCTGACTAAAATGAACTGATATGTGCAACAACTAGTGTTTGCGAAGCACACCGCTCCAATATTTTTTACCGTAGCCTATTCGGATACATTCAAAAATTATAAGTTTATGTTGAATCAGTTTTTCTATATTTCCTATTTTTTCTGACTTAATTTTAATCAAGTGATTACAAAATGAAAATAATGGTTTTGGTGCGTTGATTAGCAAAACCGGACAAGTAAATTTTATTCACCGCAATAATTTTGGCACACGCTGTATTTGCTCACAGGTGTGACAAAAAGTATGCAATATATAAATCTCAGCAATCAAGCTGACGTTGATCCTGAAGTTTCCAATGTGGAAGTTTGTTTATGAGGAATAAGAAATAGGGAACGACCATTCGCTCTCATTACTCTATCCAATTCGCATTGACATTTGTACTGGCCTGGTAATCTTGGTCGCGGCGCGATCAATCACAGTGGTCGGGGTTGCCGATTGGTAGCTGATTATCAGAAAATCGTGCCAAACGAACCATCTGGCAACAGGGGATCACAAACACGTAGAATAATACCAGATGGTAAGTTAATATAGGTTTGAACAGTGACAGTTGACTTTGGTCTATATGAAACGGTTGGGAAGCGTTGTTTACTAAGGTTCATTCCTCACGAAACTCAGCTTGTCTCGCACCATGGAAAAGTTTTGGAAACACTACTTTACGGATAGTTAATCCTGCTCGACGGGGACCCTCAGCGAGTAGATTCAGAACAGTCGCGGAGAGTTATTAATCCAACGAAAAAACTATTTTTGTCTGCAAAGTTTTCATCATCGCATGAAGAGAAACTGCTTGTTCCCTTGATAACTGATTACACCACGTGCACAGATTTTCACCGTCTGATGGTGCAATGTTCACATGTAAAGTGTCCCACTCCAAAAATTGTTCCAAATTAAACTGGAAAATTAAGAAACCCCCCGACCCGAAGATAGGTCTTCTTTAGTCTATACAAACAATCTGTCCCTCTCAGCAAGTTGACACAGTAAAATTCACAGCCGAAAATACATCTAAAGAAGAGTCAATTTCATACAACTTTTGAAGTACTTTTCTGCGAAACAATTGATCTATTAGAACATCGTCCGCGGTGCATCACATTCCTGCTATCATTCACCAAGCTGATGAAGTGNGGGGGGGGGGGGGGGGGGAGAGCGCATAAACACAGATGATTAACTGTGCACCTGATGAAATTCATAGTTCCTTCTTCTATGGCTTTCAATCTGTATTGAATCGGTCTGATCCACCCACTAATCCCAAACCACTAATCTCCCTCCGTACCGTTCGTGTCAAAAAGCACGTGATCGAAGCAGTGCTTCTGACGAGGATAAGTACATTACCATCTGATTAGTCCCAGTCCGGTGACGCTCTCATACCTGCGGTACAACACGTGACAGACCTAATAGAAGTAGTTAAAGTGTGATTCTTTGGACAAATGCAACATATCAAAAACTTAGCCACCATTACAGACTAGCAAACTATGCTTACCCGAGAATGGAAGCCAGACTCTGGTCATCTCTTTCAAAGATCTATATATGTCCCGTTGCTGATTCGATCAGTTTGGTGTACATGAAATAATGGATGATAGTGTATTGAAACAGTATGCCAATCTCAAATAAAGTTGATATCAAGGAAACCTGTTTCATCAGGTAGGGGGTTTGATAAAAGGTGACGACAGATAGCCTGAACCCAATTCTAATCCGTACAGAGAGGCAAACATTCACTCACTCATGCCATTACCAAAACACAGGCAGTGTTGAGGTAATCTAGGGAAAGTGATTTCTTCTTCTTGGAATTCATGTTCACATGGCAAATTGTCAAATCTCAAATCTCCCTCCTTAGAATGAAAAGAATTATTCAGCATTTCTCTGATCATTGAATTTGAAGTAATCAATACGGCGATTGCAGGTAAGAACAAGAGCTGTCGTTCTATTTTGCGCCTAGATAACAAGTGAAATATGGTGAGGGTGGGTGTCTCCGGTTGTCTTTGGTCAGTCTTCCCTTGAACCTCGTGAAATGCTCCCATACAACCAAGCGTCTCGAGCAGATTCTGCCGAGATAGCTCTATTCACTGCGATCCAGTGACAAAGGGCTTTTTCAACAAACTGAGAGAACAAAAAGCAAACACCCGGGGCTATAACGAGGTTGATGAGGCACTGATAGTTCGCCTAGAAGAGTTGGCTAAAAACCCTTATTCCAAACAGAAAAAGAAGAGACATGCGATCCACAAACACCAACGCCTTGCTAGTTGCAGCACTGATCACCGACTTGACTGAGTTTCTAGGTGTATTGGGCACCATCGACGTTGGACCCCGTCGAAAGAGCGTATGATCTGATGAATTGGACACCGGCGTGCAACGGATTGCGGGCTTAAAACCGAGCCTCATTATCTTGGGGGTTAAGCGTTGACTAGTCGAAGGTTCCGATTGTAAATTGCCGAAGAAAATTCTCTCACCTTGGCCTGGGCGACCGGTCAGTATCCCATCCATAAGGAAATCGTGGAACTTATCATTATTGCTTGGCACAATTTGAACTCAGAAGGGAGTCATTCACATACTGCTTATTATGAAATGTTCTATAAAGACGATCAAATCACGTTTTTTGCGATTAGTAGCATCCAACCCATTTGCGAGACATTGAACTATGGTATTGATTCATCAATGGACTGGTCCTGAAAGAGTTGTCCAAACAAATTTACCCGGTGTTGCAAACAAGGTTGATTGTGATGAACATACACTTCCCGAGTACAAGTAAATGATTGAAAAGACAACAGACTATCGGATAGGCATGTCTGACAAGAGGAAACAGTCGCGAAACCGGTTCATGTGCTTCCAGGGAAATTCTTTCCAGTGATTCATCTAATAATTATTGTACTATATATATATGTGTGTACATGTATGACATATATATATATATATATAAGTGTGTGGAGTATTAAACTTTTTCTGTAAAATAGTAATGATAACTGAACTCCTCGAAAAGTGCTGAAAATTACAGTCCGTGCTGATGAATGAACGGAAAAGGTGAATCAAAATTTACTGGTTGCCTCTTGTTTCTTTTTTTGTTTGACGGTCTTCAATTAACCGTACCCCGTTCCTACACACTGATCGCCCTTTTGATTAGTGTCAAATAAACGGAAATAAAAATATAAACTTTATTGTTAATTGACCCAGTGAAAAGTTGACTTTATTTTCGTCAAACACAAAGTGAGGGAACATCCGTCTTGGATTGTTAAAATGTTGAATCCCATAGGACAGTCAACACATTAGTATACATCCCAGAACACATACACTGGATTTCCTCTATCTTATAAATGGGAACAATCAACTGCTTAAATATGGTGTGCCCTAGTCTACTGGAAAGTCAAATTGTTTTCTGTTTTATAAAGTCACCATCTCGAGCAGAAGTATTCCCGAAGAAAGTGACGACTATTTCGAGTTTGATATTATTCACAAACTCTCTCTCTCACTCTATGACTGCTGAGTTCCGATGGTATTCGAAAGCTTTTTAGACCGCAACGTTGTCTGCGTTCGCATTCAATTATCCTATCTTCCGTAAGTAAAAAGCCCACGTAGTTGTTTTTCTTAGGGATTTTCATTTCAATGACAATGCCTGATTAACCACTTCTTCAGCATACATTTCTGAGTCCATTCCTATGGCCAACGTGACGTAATTCGCAGCCTTTTGGACTTCTTTTTTTCTAATCACGCAAACGCGTTAGTCATATGTCGATCTATATTGTGCAGTACTTATGTACCACCTCCTTCCTGGCCTTTTCAGTGTACTGTAAAGATTTATAACTTTCACTGTCGATCCACGTTCAAGATCCCAAATTTCTCCAACTTCATTTCAAATTGAAGTATAATGTGAAGTGACCGCTAGACATGAACTTCTACTTAAACCACGAAAAACCTTTCGACATTGTGAGTGCTCTGAGATTTCATCCAGAACGTAGCACCCGTATTTACAAGTTTTGAATAAGATATAATAATGTGAGCGAAGCGCTCGAATTAGATAAAATGTTCATGAACATCTACCCATCCCACAAACTCACAGGTACTATCATCATACCGTTCAAAACCGTACTTACTTCACTTGCTGGACAGTCTTTCATCACATTGCTGGACAAGTGTTTGGTCAGTGTATCTAAAACCTGACAACCTCGTTCATTCAAACAGTGAGATGAGGGTGACACAGACTCGTCTCTCGGCGATAAATAGTCAGCAAATTGACTTGCGGCGCGAATAACACCAGCTTTCTGAGCGATCCCACGAACGTGCTCGGTTATCTGTGGTGTGACGACCAGATCTTGGGCACCAGATTTGCTAGTGCTATCTTGATAGTCATTTACCGAAACACAATGAGTTTGCTGCAACCGTGCGATTAATGGATTCATTTTCGCTGATCCCACTGAACTGTTCCCCCGGATTCGCAGACCTAATCTTGGGCACGTTCAATGTACTAATATATATATATATATATATATATGTATATATATATATATACTGAAATCAATGTGTGTACTTTTTCAGCTCATCGGAATTCACTACAATCAAACAGGTGACTGAGCTTCAAATTGTCCCTTAACTTTGTATCAGCACGAGCGTATCCTCAACAGATAAAGAACTGATTGGTCGAATGATATGGCGATTGTGATTGGTTTGGACAATGATCATGTGATTCGCGTGATGAACAACATAGTAGGGACTAACTTTTGCAGTCAATATACGAGGTACGGTGGGTGAAACAAGGACAGGAAATGTATAGCAACAATCAGAAAAAATCCAATTTAAACGATGTTCCCCGGTGTTTAAAATTCACAATTATTTGGGGAAGTCTCGCATTTATAGAAACAGTTCGTGTTTAAAGGTTGAATATTTCCATGATAGCATTGAGAAAACGAGTCGGTGAGCGAACAAATGTTTTTGGATACTCCTAGTCATGTGAAAATGCTTACGTAATGATAACCATCGACTCAATTTAAAGTAATTAATCCGAGTCGGAGAGTAGAGGATGTGTAAGTATGTGTGTTGGGATGTTTAGCGTGTTATTTGATGTGAACTTTCTCCACGTGGGTCAAGTGACACATCATGTTCTGTCATGGTTTTCACACCCCGGTCAAGGTAATTGGAGCGCTTAGAGCACACAGGTTGAGGCCTAATAAGCGAATGGCGATCGCCTCGGCCTCAGCTAGTGTCCAAACTCGGGCCGCTCCCGATCGACTAAGTGGGATGCGACTAATAACATCCAAAGCTTTCTCCGGTTCAATCCTGTGCCAGGTGTCCACGAGACCCATGATCACGCTTGAGATACAACCGGTTTTGCCGACTTAACGCGTTAAGACAAACGCCTTACCGTACGACCTACATTCGTAACCATTGAACGCGTAAAATCAATATTCGATAGGATTGATTACACTGACCAATCAGACTGTAAAACGTGTCTGCTTGTTATTGATTGGCTGTCTACTGATGACTTATAAGCTAGTACCGGCTGATAACATGCTTTGATGTTGTAGGTGCTTTCCCAGTTGGTACCTACTTGGAGGATTTACTTCCGTGCATGTTACCAGTTCCATTGAATACAAAAGTTTCTTTTTAGAAACTTGAAACATTTGGTCCCCTTTGTCCAATTCGTTAGAACAGAGAGAACACAACTACTGCGATCTGTTAATATTGCTTTCGATTTCCTCAATCGGTAAAACGTAAAACAATCTGGTATTAGAACAAGAAAATTTTAATTATTACAGATAACGGATAACAATCAAATGAGCGGGAAACCAGTTCCAATGCCACGGTAATTTGACTGATTGCTTCAGAAACTTTTGAGCATACGAAATTGAACTAGGAAACTTGTTTAATATCGCTTCGCTGAAAGCTAAGTGCTTGGGATTCGTGTTACGTAACGACGGATTGAACAAGAAAAGTGGGTCAACGATGTGTTCAGTTGTCACGAGATGTTTTGTGATTTATGACTCTGGATTTATCTTACCAGATTGACTTCTGAGATTGTGCTGCGTCACTGACTGTGAATGTGTTCGGACACCCGCTGCGATAGGGGCCGATTCGCTTTGTCTATGTAAATACCGCCACAACTGCAGATGACAGACAGACGACATGGGAAGCAGAATCGATGAGCTGGCTCCGTTTCGGTTGCCCCATACGAAGTCCTTTGGTGTACGGTATCAATCGAAGATGTGCAGCAGGAAACGTTCGACATAATGCTGCCTTAAGCTTCTGATGCACGTCGCTCATTAGACTATGATCCTTGAATGTCAGCCTGAGGAAGACGCATTTCTTCGATACTACGCAGACGGGATCAACCGGTGGCCTTCGTCTGATATGCACATCAATAGATTTCTCTAAATAATAATTAACCAGTAGCGTCCCTCACAGAAAGGCTTTTTCCTTGAAAGCTGTCAAAGGAGCAAATATTCCTGGCACGATGGAACAAAGTTTTCACCGGATATCTTTGGTAAGTCACAGGAGCAAAACTAGGGACTTGTAAGTATTGTTCAATGTTTTTCCGGTAGATGAATCGTTGCGAGAAAATAAGGAACTCTCTTATCGTTTTCCGTTTGCAAGTGGACAACTTATCCTCAATCATTTTCTGGTTTGCTTTCGGAATCCATATAGTTTTCAGTTCTGATCAAACTTACCCCTCCACACTGAGAATGCTAATCAACTTTCTGTATTTGACCACCAAGGTCTTCGAAGTATTGTTCATGTATGGCCAGAACATCGGGTGAGCAATGCCGAGGTTTATTGTACTGTGCTGGGTGCTAATAGTCGTTCTCTGATAGATTGGCTTGCACTACACATGACATCCAATGGCTCGGTCATGTCCCATATAATCCTACCATCACTCCAGTCATGGAAAGCACTTTGATTATGCATCAATTTAAGTAACTTCCGGGAGTGTCATCGAGGATCCGAACTTCAGGCATTACGACTTGGTATCTCATTGCGAAGCGAAAAGGAATTCAAATGTAAGTATATCAAATGTAAATACAATTCGATTTGGTGGACCCATTTCAGATCAGTTCACTTCGTTTACGTGTCCCCATCGGACTAGACTGTAAATTCAAACGCTGCTAAATAGAAAGGGATTCATATCCTTTTTAAGAGCAATGGAAGTCTTTGTGATAACCGACAGAGAACACTGAACAGCTGTTTGGTCACCACAAAGATATCCATCGTGTTTAAATGCATTTAACCGGTGGAGAATCAAAGATCTTTCAAGAAGTGAAACCCACACCTAGTCCGGTGCCTGTGAAAAACCGAATGGGCTAATTCAAACATTCATCGTCTAAATTGGATCCTATTCACTATCTCTCTATATCTATTTATGAAAAACAGAATATGGACGTTAAAAGGGACGAATCCGTTTGTGTTGGTGTTTGGTCAATGGTCAGTAGGTGAACAGACAGTGTCATTGTCCTTGACCTTTGATGATATTATGATGGTCTGTGGTCATGTGATTAAGACCATGACACATGGTCACCATTCATGCGAACATACACGGATCTAGCGATCGGATGGTCTTTGTTCCTAAGCTCCCTCTAGGCGATCCGAGATCGTAACAGAAGGCTCCCTAAAGCAACTGTTGAACCTCTGAGAGCTCAAGCTGTGCTGCGCACATTAGTGAGTAGCATGGTTGGGACGCACAAGAAGAAGCGGTTGGTGTATTCTCACAATACTCAAAAATGAACAAGACATCCAGGAGTGAATCAGTGTACTCAGTATTATATCTACAGAAAATACAAACATACCGTTTGACCACTAATCTTCAGTGTTTCATGAAAGTAGGATTACTCTGTTTTTAAATGAGACCCTTAGTTCCGTGCAACCCCGTCACCTCCAGTCACATCATTCGGCAGTGTTCATGCGGATTAATGAAACTGACTGATCATGTCGGTCAGGTGATGATCGGTACTTCTTTTCGCCGTACCTTGCTAGCTGTCATGGTTATTACCGACAAGCTCGCGTCACATGTACTTTGAGTGCATGTTGATTTCATATCACGTGGATTGTGAGCAAACCTGTGTACCATCAAGTGTTAGTGTGATTCTTGAGAATCTGACATGCTTCTCCCGTTTGTCAACATTTGTCATGAATTTGCTGAGTTTAGGGTAAATATCCACTTTGTGTATAAGTTCTGACTAGGACAGAAACCGGACAGATCGTTACTTTCAATGGTAAGCGATCTTGGAACAACCGTATTTTAGTTAATATTATTCCTAGTGGCATAATAATAATCCATAATATTTTAATTTCCTTTTGTAGACAGACAATTCAGGAAAGGGATGAACAGTAAACGTTCTGGCGGGCCATGTGCACGCTCAGGCAAAACCATGACAAAATATCGTGCTGGTAAACCATAATTCGGATAGCCAGAGAAGAGTGGCAGTGCGAGAAAAATTAAGAGTGGTAGAAAACCGACCGTTAATCCAAACCACTTCAATGCGCTGCCTACATTGGCTAGGTTATGCGCTGCGAATACCTGGACACCGCCTGCATTGTCGAGCTCTATTTGCACACACTGGGCCGGATTGGAAGAAACACCGAGGCGTGCATGCGATGACGTAGGGTAGAGTTGCAGAAACTGTTCCGACTGAAGCCCCGAAACGCTACGGGATGTCGCTTTAAATCGAAAACAACCAAACAAATGCGATTTTACGTTTGCAATCGCAGTCATAAGAGTACCAGAAATTCAACAGTGTACAATAAAATTATTTTACTAACAACCCCCCCCCCACACNCTAACAACCCCCCCCCCACACACACACACAGAGTCCACAACAAGTCATACCTCTACGGCATAAACGATATAATTTGGAAACGCATCAGCCCACAGGTATTGTTAGATTTTGTTGATTCACAACTCCCACTAACGGAGACTGATCACACACACTTATTGTTGTTAGTTTGAATTACTTGCAATCATTGCGAGATGCAGATTTCTTTGAACAAAGAAAAGCACAAAGCACGGCTATTTAGCTCCTTGAACGGTGTCCTACACAGATGATCAGATTCTCTGGAATCCGTGCGTAGATGAGGAAATGATTCATCAGGACTGGTGTTTGACTACCAAACTGATTGTTACAGCAAAGTTACTTCCTTTCATTAAACACAATAATATAATGTTTAAGAAGAAGAAAGCGGTCAATTAAAAGGCTGCTTTTTAAAGAGACAAAGAAAGGAAGTTAACGTAGGGAAGCGAAACAGATGATAGACTAGATGTATCCATGTCCCAGTGTACACCTTTTTCAGTCATGTATGCGTGTGTGTGGTTCCTGATTAACTCCCACAGATACCACAGTTCCAATAGAAATAGTCGGTTAAGAAGATTAAAGGAAGGTGCAGATCTCTAACTCAGTAAACCAATTTCACCTCAGTTCATCAAAATCCACGTAAAATATCGGATAGGGTAGGAGAACATCAGCTGCCCAGTACAGGGAGATATCATTTTAATTGGTGTAGCCGTTGCTGTAGACAAAACAAAACACAATCGGGGCAACGATCGTTCCAATAAAAACCCTAAATATTTCGTTCACGTGTCAAATGCACATAACACTTCACTGGCCCACGCCGATAACTATTTGAATTATTCATTTTTTCACTCTACACTGTGTGAAAGAAGCGAAACATTTCCTGCGGCAGCGAACTGAACCGTGTGCGGTTTAACTGTTTGTAGCTATTTGTTCAGCACGGGATAAGATGGACTAAACCGAAAACAGGATAACGGTCTTTTGTGAATATCCACAAACCTTTCTGGGTAACCAAAGGTGACCACATTCAAAATGAGGTGCGCCAGAAGTTGAGGTCAGCTCTAGACCGCACATTCCCAGCTGCTAAACTCAGACTAATTGCCTCCACTCGTGGAATTGATTTGGACAAACGAAAACAGGATAGACAAACAGAGTGTATTACAGGAGAATTAAAATGTACATTGTGACATTGTTGCACCAGTCATTTCGTCCGCTTACACAATCATGACTTTTTAGAAACCGAGTCTCGAAAACAGGCGATATATCGTTTCCCAAATTTGATTGTCTTAACTTCATCTCACCGTTCAGGATTCAACTAGCACCAGTTCAAAAGATAAAATGCGATTGCCGTAAAATTTTATTCGTTTCACTCAAAAGCAATATGTACAAAATAGTCCTCAACAGTATTACACTCGATCAACAGTTTTTTCTCCGCAGTGGAAACTTGTCTCGCACTAATTTATATACAACACATATATACAATATTGTGGGCGTGCGAACGGGGCATAGTATGCATCGTCGCATGTGTTACATATCCTCCATGGACCATTGTTGAGCGATTTGTCGATCCACACGACGCCGAGTGGCCTCATCGACAATTTTCTGCTCGAACCCGTTGCTCCGATCCACACCGTCCCATCGATATCCCGGGCGAATACCATACCGATTTGGTGGAGGTTCTGGACCTTGATATTGAGGACGGGAGTCTGCATCACTATCAGAGGAAGCACTGGATTCGGGGTCAGACTGAGACGCGGCAGACGAACCTGTCGGAAGGGCACATAAATACGGAAGGGGAGATGCGCTGAGGGCCTGAGGTCAGAGGACGAAAGATAAAATCGGGTAATCAATGATCTCGTCCAACTTGGTCATCAATGTCGTGTGGACAAGAAAGAGAAAAGATGCATCCTCTTAGGTATTCCTGGCGGTATGGTGAAGATGCCACAAACCGTCATATAATAAGTATTGTTAGCTACATATAACTGGGTTAGAAAATGGATATATACACACCAACACGAAAGATTCGCTAAATATTTAAGGATAGTCTAAGAAAAAAAATATTAGTGTTCCAATACCGTCGACTATCCGTGATGCAACGGATCACTAAAACTCATCGAACTACACGGGCTACCAAAATGTCGCGATTTCGATGTTAACGAGGGAATACGGCAAACAATTTTGAAGGCCTGACTGATGTTCACTTCAAGACAATTCAAGTCAAACTAAGCTTTATGCAACACTTGGTGATTTGTTTTCAGATGTTGGCATATTGCGCTTTACATTGTCTGTTTCTCTTAACTAGTCGTTGTGCAGCCTATATAGCTTGCACCACGGGAGCAAGTAAACCAGTAGATGCTCATGGATATTTTACGACATCTGAGCATTCTGGTATGTGTTGCTACTGATCGTGAAAGTGTTTAAAAACCGAGTTTTCTGAGCAAAATACTAAAGGTGTGATGCACTGATGTGACCGTTTTGGAGGGAATCCAGTCGACAAAAAGATCAAATTCAAACACGTTTTCTCCGAGTGATAGCTAGTATTGCATCGGATAGTCATTTTGTGGACCGAACTTGTTATTATCTCCAAAAGATGGTCATTTATCGCCTGGAAAAAATTCCAGATTCAACAAAATCCAGATGCCCGCAGTGTGTAACACGACTTTGTCTTTTCTTGCCTCTAAAAGCCTTCGTATGGAAGTATGACCCCGTCCAAAGGGAGCAGCATCTGATGAACTGAGCACCGGCCCACAATGGACTGCAGTTTTCATACAGTCCAGCTGCTTAGCGGGTTAGGCTTTGGCTAGCCGATCACTTTAGCAGTCAACTCTCTAGGAAAACTCACCTGCTTAGACAACCTGGTGGTATTCCACCTACTGGCAAATCATGGTACTTTATTTGCTTTATTGCTAGGTCTCAAAGAATAACTACCGATTGCTACATTCATTACCCAGGAACTGCGATGGTATGTTTCAGATGAGACTTCTGTGTTGTGTATGCCAAATTAGTGATGTCCCAACTGTAATTTACAATAAACAACTATCCTCTACCAAGCACCATCCGAGTACAGGAATAACACATAATGTATTCTTCAAACAATTTGCATTTTTATTTATGTAGGAATGCACCATGTGCCCAGGGTTTCATCAGGTCTCCGCTTTAAAGATTCAACAGTTGGCGCACAAATGATGTGCGATAAGAGAGCGTTCCAATTGGTGCACACTCTGGAGGCAAAAGAATGACGCCACCATTTCAGTCGATCCTTTGGGAGCACCAACTTTAAATGACGTTCCCTGAGGTGGATGTTGGGCAGCAACGTGAGCAGTGAACGACATGGATGGCTTAGGTTCTGTAATATTTGATACACTAAAATCGAGTCTTCTCGAATTCGGTGGCATTAATTGGGATTGTAATCTCTTCCCGTAGATGAGGCAATTCAAGCCCTTGACCATCTTGGTGGCAATCCTTCGTGGACACTCCATCATCTTACGATAAGATTGCATCCACAAGCTTTACGCCTGGATGGTGTTCTGCGTACGGCTGAATATATACTCACAGCAAACATGGGAACAGTGCTGATTCAAAACGACCAAAGAATCGTTATTGCCTAAACCCACGAGAGATGTAAAACCGTCTAGATTTAAAAGCGGAGCAAATTCGTGAAGTGATGAGAAGTGGTGCTCGGATTTTACAAATCCTTGGGTCGAAGTTTGTTTTCAAAGTTAACAGCGCATGCATTTGTACCTAGTTCAGCGAATTCCGTTATTTTATTAGTGTAAAGCCTGGATTACAAGAGTAGGTTCCCTTACTTAGGGTTTCGCGGCTACGACTCTACGTATTTCAAGCCCCTTGAACCTGCTTTGAATTTGTTTCATGTGCACATCACGTAACAGGCCAAGTCGCACTTTGATCTGAACGCTGTACCGATTTGTCTCTGTTGGTTATAGAGATTATTGTACCACAATTTGTTTGGCACACAGTCTGGACCCAGACGGATGTGAAACATTAATAATATAATAAGTTGGCTAGAAGACGGCGTGACTGGGTTAAAGGACAAGGAACGGATTGAAGGGCGGTAGGAAAACTGGTAGTCATGTTCACGCAGGTGGGCTATTCGTCCAGTTGGGAATAAACACTTACTACGTTTTCTCTTTTTGTGTTTGTCCTTTTTATGCTTTTTCTTCTTCTTTTGCGCCTTCTTTACGAAATACTCGGCCATTGGATCGTCCGCATGTATCTGTGTTTTTAGGTGCTCGGTCAGATCTGCATCGTCTGCATAACGTGCCAGTGGTTTGGAGCTTTCATACTCTTGTTGTTTCAACTGTTGAATGGTTTCTTCCAATGTTTTAACACTAAACAAAAAAGGACGGTAGGCATACGTTTATCTTCATCCAATGACAGAACTCACCCTCGATTCCAAACATCATAGCGGGCTTGAATTTCTGCCTCCTTTTTCACCTTCTCTAATTGTTTTTTCTCCTCTTCAGCACTCTTTTTGACAGGTGCGGCTCTTTGCCGAACCACCGTGGGTGCCTCTTCATGGATTTCCGGAAAAATGGCACCTTCGGCATCGGTCGCATAGAATGCGTCCAGAGTTTCCGGTAAATCTCCCCTAAAACAGAAGATGACGCGGATGGTCAAATGATGCAAATGTATTTTACTTTTCTATTTATTGAATATCCAAACGTACAGTCAACATTCAGGAAGGGGGGCCGCGGCCATACAAAGGCTGTCTGGGAAGACGGGCGGTGGTGGAGCGGTTCGAACCCGGGACTCGCAGGTCACAATTTGGTGACCTAACCACTTGGCCCCATCGAGCGACAGTAAATATTTCAAAGATAATATCAACTTTATTACAGGGAGAAGTTAAAGCTTTCCTGATCAGGACTAAGCTCTCATTCAGCGTCCATCACCAAAAAAAACTGTATCTTTACGCGATGTGATGGTCTGTGCACCTCTCTGATTCAACGAGCTACACAGGATGGCTCCTGTCAAGCCGAAGATCTAGTCAGGCCTGATAGGTCAAAGGGTAGAGGTCAGACGAAGTACACTCTCCTGGTCCTCCAGATTGGGGGTTCGACTGGAATTAAAGGCTTTAGTTGAGAACCCTAACCATTTGCCTGCTTATGGGTTGGCTAGCAGTAGCCACCCATTAAACCACAATGTACAAACAAACTAAAAGTAATCCCATACTGCATCCGTCGTCGCACAGGATAGTCAGGACCATTGTATCCATTGTATCGAGCGGGGTGGGTAGTGATATCAGATATCCCAAACATTAATTCTTTGTATTCCGTACCCAGCTAACTCTTTCGTTCATTCTCCCAGCCTGTATTAATTCCTCAGGGAACTTGGACATCGCTCGCCAAAGGCCGTCAATCACTGAATCTGAGTCCTTCAATGTGAGGACGCTACCAATGGAATCCTTAGGGATCGATGTTTGCCGCGTGTCAGAGACTCGAATTCAGGATCCTGCTAAGATAAGTCACTTGAGCGAGCCAGATTTGTCATGGAGGTAAGTTCTTCGCACATCAAGCGATAACGAAGCCCGTTTAGTAGGTCAGTGCAGGGTAGATATTGTGCTCAGTAACAGGGTCCAGTCCTCTCTCATCCATTGGATCCCCGTCAACAGTCATGTATGCGAAATGCGTCTCCAGGGTTTCGTCAGCGTCCGGAAGGGAGGCAACATAATACGGTGTTTGTTCACCATATCGACATATGCACCGAACAATTGCAGTTCTGAAACACAATAGGACGGTTTCTACGATAAACTCAAAGAACTCGTCCGGATGAGTCGAAGGTCCGACATATCTGTACTTGCAGGTGGCCTCAACGCTCAGCTGGAAATCTGAGCGCATCAGCTTGCTTAGGCAATAGTTCTTTTGTGCCTTGCCAGCGAACAGAAATCGGCAATTGAACTCTTTAGTTCTGCGTAGACCATCATCTACTCCTACCCAGTAACAACTTCCGACACAGTTTTCGACGGACGGTGAAGTGGTGCTCCAGTTCAACTATCAAGTGCTGTTGCCACATTCTGTATGTGCACCTTCAAAGTTTCAGTTTCAGTTTGAACAACCATTAACCATGCACTTTCGTGCGCCGGTTTTGGTTGCTGTCTTTTGGCTGCCCATTTGGATGAAGAATAGGAGAAAGTAAACTTGAAAGTGGAGTCGAAAAGAAAATGGAGAAGCTCAGTGGACTCAGGTTGGAAAGAAATTGAGGAGATGCACGAACGCCACTGTTTACGACACCCAGCCATATCGCTCAGTGTCTCTAACCATCGGTTACGATCATCCCGAGGTCTCCAGCCAGGGAGCCTAACAGGACCCATGTGACCCAGTTTCCTGGTTAGGGTTTTCATACCCTCATGCCAGGTCTTAACTTGACAACCCTTGGCTTTTTTCCACTCGGTATCTGCTTCGGCGAACATCGCTCGCCGTGGTAACCTACTTGGTGACATGCGTAACACATGTCCTAGCCAACGTAACCTATGGAGATCGACCACTTGCTCCAGTGGGCGACCGTATTTACCCAAAACTCTGCCCCTAACCTCAGCATTCACCTTCCAAGTGCTCAGTGATGCTGCAGGACTGGGTGTCGCCTAGTCCCGCTGGGAAACGAAATGGCCACGAATGAGTTATGGTGGATTGCCTTTTCGACTTAGGTAGTTGCGTGACCAATAACGTTAGCGCAGCAAAGGAGATAAATGCCCACAGATGGTAGACAGCCCTACTGTCTCCCGGCTCACAATCACGCTCAACCTATTGAGGCCTTATGTGATTTACTACTCCAAGTCTCAGGGTTGGGTTGGCGGTCTTCTTCCACATCACAAATGAACAATACAACTCACAGAAATCACAGAATGCGCACTCTACCTACGAACTCACAACACTCCATAGCCCATACGAAAATTCGTGGTTTAAATCGAAACGTTAATTCTGTACACCACTTTCTACAATCTTCATCCCCACTGGCTTTAGTTTGACGGAGACACAAAGCTCCCCCTCGTCAGACACTACTTATCTTCAGTTCCCTAAATACTTCCTCCATTCTGCTTTTCTTTCTAAAGCTGGTGTCTGCGTCTATATCCATCATTCTGTCACTTCTTCCCGACTTTCACGCATGGACTTCTCTAACAGTGAATTTCAGTTGGTGGCTGAAACTTCAATTCCCTTTTTTCAAACACTATTTTTGTACTGTTTACCGCTTCCCGAGCAGCAGTGATTCTTCTATTTTTCATACTCTGTCTTCCAACATTGGGACACTAATGTCGGCAGATTCTAACAGCCAAATCACCATTGTCGGAGATTTCAATGTCCACAGCAAGGAATGGCTGAAGCACTCCTCAGACACTACCATCATGGGACGCGAAGCCGAGGCTTTTGCTGTGATCAACAACTTAAGCCAACTAGTTGATCTCCTCACACGCATCCCTGATCGTATTGGTGACCGCGTCCACACCCTTGACCTCATTCTCACATCCATTCCCTCTTCCTTCTGCAACATCACTTCCCTTTCCCATTAGGCTTATCGGACCATTGTCTTATTTATTCTCTCACTCCATTTCACCACCAAACTCCAGACGCACCTTTTGGCGTTATGATTCAGCCAACTGGGATGGTTTTCGTGGCTCCCTGGCTTGCTATCTCTGGAAGGGTTGCTGTTTTAAATCGGATGTTTCCAAGTCTGTTTCAAACTTCACGGAGATTGTTCTTCAAGGCATGTATCTTTATATTCCACACTTCTCCAAACCCGGCAAATCACAATCACACGAGTGGTTTAATCACGCTTGCAACCGTGCTGTACGTTTTAAAAACTCAGCATTCCGTCGTTGGCGCTACTCACCCAATCCAGCATCACCCAACCGCTTCGTGCAAGCCAGAAAAAAATGCTCGGTCACTATTCAAAGAGCTGAAGAGCGCTTAATT